TGACTGACTGACTGGTTGACGAACGGACGGCTAGCTCTATTAGAACACGGAGAAGAAAGGCCCAACCCTACTGCCGTGGGGTGATGGCGGCCAATTTGTCTGATCACTCCGTCTCTTCAGCTCCGAAGTAAACTTTTTCTTCAGTCCTTCGTTTGGCGACTACGTACGAAGACGACGTCTTCGTCCACATTGAACGAGATAGAGAAGAAACAGGAAAAGGCAACAGAAGATGCAGACTTTAGCGCTTGTTTCACTGGTCATCGCGCTTGCAGAAGACGTTCGCTAGACATACGGCCGAACGCGTCCCCCCTCCTCCTCGATGTAATCCATATTCATGATTCAGATGAATTAATACCATTATCCCCGTCGTTCATTGTGCTTCATCGGCCATCATTACCTCCGCGACGGCTAATGCTAGACCTTCTCAAACGACAAATGAGCGCAATCATCGAACGCAGGGAACTTTTCCGCCACCGCCTCAAAGCGCTTTGTCAATGTCCCCCGTAGTCCGGGACGGTAGCTGACCGGGTGCGGTTCAATCTGGAAGAGGAAAATATGAACTACGGATCGCCGAAGGGTCACTGTGCACTGTGCTCAGCATCTAATCGAGCGTCACAAACTCTCGGTGATAGACTCGCGCTCAGAAAGGTGAGTGGTTGCGAATCAGCCCTCAAAGTGATCAGTAATTCACGCAAATCTTCCGCTTCAGTGACGCACTCATACAGCGAGTCATCTTCAGCAATCAGCTTCAGTCTAGTCCGTCACCAATTAAATCGATCTCAGAGTCTACGTGGCGCGGCCGCCGGGACAGGCGACGACCGTTCTGTCCGGGACTCACCCTCGAGAGCACGGGAAAAATTACCCAAACTGACGGAACCTGTCTTTGATTGTTGTAGCCGCTGCTGCTGCTGCTGCCGTAAAGGGAGGCGTCATCTGTATAGTGGTGCATTCTGCGAACGGATTAATCTCAGAAGGCGGACTGGGAGTGCCGAGCGGACACAGACGGGCAGCCGGTCGACTGGCCGTTCGCCCGATCGGGCCAACAAGTGAACCAGTCAGGCAATGATGTTATTCATCCATCTATGTGAACAAGAAGAAATTGCCAAATATTCGTCAGTTGCAGACAAAAAGCTCCTCGCAGTCTATTAAGTACTCGGAGGAGTGAGGGTCCGGCGATGAAATGAAGCCAAGAGTGAGGCTCGGGCGCATGAAAGCGGCTCGACTTTTCGTAGGAAATAATCGCCTGCTCAATGAATGACGTCAGCCGGCGGACGGATAGAGTCAACATCGCCTTTCCTCCAGGATGCGAACTCACATAAGAACCCAATTTCTTCCCCGTATCTCGACAGGATGAGAGCGTCGTAACGAGACTTGCGAGTCATCCCCCCTTCCGGAACGCATAGGTAATTCTCTCGATCGCTTCGTCGGAAATAATTGCCTTGCATGCAAATGCAATCGATAGCATTGGGAATATTCGGTTTGAAGCCTCCTCTAGACAGAAGGTCATAGATTGCACGGGGGATTGCAAGCAGCCGATAAGATCCAGGAATTACCTAAATAATATATAGACTGGCGACGCGACTGTCGCGTTCGATCCTTGTCGCTGACCGAATTTTTCGAATACCTAGGTCTCAGTCAATTTTTTTTCACCGCGTTGCGTACCACCTCCCAAAATGAATGCTCTTACTTCACTCAGGACCAATGAAAGTTTTAATAATTTTTCTCTCGCTTCTTCTTCTTCTTCTCACCGTAGCGGCCTCCAAATTGGATCCACACTTTGTTTTCCGTATGCTCACACCTTACCCGCGACGATCGAAGCTTCGCCAGGACTCGTATCGGAGGAGTCGACGTCTCGGAACGTTTACCACCCGTCTTACGATTTTAATTATCGTTATCTTTATTATCGGCATCTCTTGCCTTCCCCTCTCCCCTCCCAACAAGGAACATATGTTCCCCACGGACCCATCCGTGCTTCCGTCGGCATTATTCTCGACTACGCGCCTCCTTTGACGATGTTTTCAATTCCATTATCATCGTGGAACGGGAGCCGATTCTTCCGAGAATTGAGCGAAGCCCGGTAGGTTTCGCGATTTAGGTACAGTCTTATTCAGGTCGGCGCGTATCGGGCTGGCCCAACGAAAGTCCGGACCGCTGCTCGGACGAGTATCAGCCTTCTGCCGATACCCTTCTGTGTCGAATTCGTTTAGGTCGCGAACGGCTCTCTCCGGCCGGTCGTGGCCGAATCGAAGAGCTCAAGAAGAATTCCTGGGGTCATAACGGATTAGATTGCCGAGAAGAAGATGATATCAAAAACTCAAGGAGGGCACACAGCTCGTATATCGAACACCGGCGGGTACGCTTCGTCTCACCGGACGGATAGTCCGACCGACTCTCAGTGGAACCGAGGAGATTTGAGCTCCGAGATAGATCATGCCTTTTTTGATATTCACCGTGGGATCCGTTGAACTCCGATTCGAGCTTTTGATTCGATTGTTCGCCCAATTTTGGGATGCCAAGTACCTTGGACGTATTGGGGAGGCAGGCTTCGGTCAGGGTTCTGACCCGATTTCTGCCAGTCATACGGTGGAGGAGCGAGCTCGTAGCGCTCCACGCAATGTATCATTAGGTAGCCCGCGCAGCAATTTGGTCAAATTGCTGAACAAGTGCGACCTTCTCAGACAGCCTCCCCCGCTTCGTGACTACGGTAGGCAAGAGAGTCTTCTCTCTTCTTTGTTGCTCGTTTTTCGATCGCTAGCTCGCTCGCTCCCTCACATACTGAGACGTGCACACACTGCCGTAGACTGTGAGCAGGAACGAATTGAAGCTAAATTACTTCAAAACTGCCTCGGCGGCACAGATTGGCCGCTCACGATCTCCCACTACGGATCCCGTTTTAGAACCACGAAAAAACGCACGAAACGAGCCAACCTGACTCCAAACGAGAATCTCAATCTCCGCCAGTGTAATCCACGTTACGTGCGTAAACACAGTCGTACGGCCGCCTACTACGGATAGTGCTCTCAATGGATCAATGGGAATGACACGATTGGTTCGGGTATATTGACGATTGCTGGATGAATGAACGTGTGGATAGTTGGGAAACGTGCGTTCATTCACCAGACGATCGACCACACTCGATCACCCCTCACACAACTGTCCAGGCAGTCGGCCAAAACGATTGCCTCAACAAGTGGAGTCTGATCTGAACAAATGAGAGTTCCAAACTCATTTCTTTGTCGGAGCAGCTCTCGTGACAAAGTGGGCTTTACGACAAAACTTTCGGCTTCAGGTGCCCCACACGACAACGGCAACAACAAAAACGACTTCTACGACGATGGCGGCGGTGGCGAAGTCTAAGCTCAGGCGAAGTTGGAGTTCCAGAAGACTAGCACGACGACGTACCAGACGGAAGGACCGATCCTACGACGAACTAACGAGCAATCATCGATAAGAGATTCACAGATTTGGACACTCGTTCGAATGTTACGAAAACAACCGCGGAAACGACATGAGCTTCTCTACTCCATTGATCACCACACGCTTCCATTCGGCCCCTCTCCGGAGAGGTTTTTGTACGAAGGAGACAACATTTGACGTTTTTTACGCTCGTGACCGTGCTGAAAACTTGTTTTTCTCGCGAGTTTTTCGGAGGATACCGGTGGCGGATGCTCGGGACCGTCGTCGCGTGCGACGGACCAAAAACCGTATGCACCGTTTTTAGGTGGGATTCCTCTAAAAAAAAAACCAATCGAATTTAGATGCTCATCCGATGCCGCTGTCAATAAAGATAATGGAATATTTGTGCCGGTAAGCTTCCATTCTCGCGATGTCCCTGAATTCCAAATCGAGATCACGGCCGTAATTGATTCACGAATTATCCGTTAAGAGGCACATGCGATCCACCGTCAAGATCGTTCAGGAAAGTTCATAAAGCACTCGAGTTGTATGGTTCGGCTACCTCGGTAGCAACTTTTTTCACACTATTCCTTCTCAAGGTTTATTTCATTTGCACTATAATTTACATTTTTCCTTTATTACAGCAGCTCGGTTGTCGATAACTAAGATCACGGCTGCGATCGATGTCCTCGGAGTTGAGGGACATTCGTTGTAGCTAGTTGAGTTGTAGATACATATTTGTGGTTGTAGCGCGTCCCACATGGGAGGTTGACTAGCGACATATATTAAGGCGAGCTGCGGGTTCATACCACCCGCTTACATGGCCATATCTCGTTATGCTCATTCTTCTGTTTTTCCCTCACTTTCGCTGCTGTTTCTTATCCTCCCGGGTTGATTTCTGCGACCGACAGTGGCTATGAGCCACCGCTGCGCAGGAATTCAACTCGGAGCGATTTTTGAGAACATGGGCTTCCTTCTTGTCGACTCTTCTCCGGGGGCGAAGGTTCTTCTTCGGCGAAGGTCTTCGTCGCCGCAGCAGCCGCCACCGTAGTTTAGAGAGGAATGCACCTGCGATCAGATGCGGGCGTTCGGATAGCAGGCAGGCAGCGGGACGGTCGATCGACTAACCAGCGGAGCCGGCGGCCTGCCATACATACAAGATCCCAGTCTAGAAACCGAGACAGGCACGGCAGGGTAGTCTACCAGAAGCAGCCGGACACGTACCGGATACCGGGGGTGCTTGGTAGCATCCTCCGGTCGGGAAGGGGGACATCGTCTGCGTGTTCTTCTGATGGACCGCGTGGAAGGCGTCGTACAGGGATTTGTAGTCAATCAGTCGAAATCAGCCCGAGTGAGTCAAGCCCTCCGAATAGGAGATGGGCGCGAAGATGGAGAGGGAATCCCAGTCGAAACTCCGGCTCGTAAACTCAGTCCAGGGCTATATCGTATGTACATATTTCACAGAGGCCCACAGCCTTAACAATGTGACCTAATCCTCGCCGTCGTTCGTTTTTACATTGACGATCGGGCTGCCGACTCGAACTCTCCTCCCTCGGAGCCTTACAATTCACAATCCTAACGAAACGCAGTATATTAATAAATACATTTCTATTTACATCGGTTGGCCGCCTACAACGGAGTGTACTGAGCTTCGCACTTCTCCACCTGTTCCTCGACGTGCCGCAATCGCTGTCTGAGGATATCGATCGACTTGTGGGGCAGGAAAGGCAGGTAGCCGTCCATGTTCGGCGAGTTCGCCTGGAACGACTTCTGCAACAGCTGAGTCAACTCTTCGGGGGAGAGATTCACAAGACGTCTGATCGAAGCGATGGTCTGCTTGCGGAAGACGCACAGCGCCTGCAGGAGGCTCTTGTGGTAGACGTTGTACTTCTCGAGCAACCGGTAGCCGTGCACGAGTCCAGACTCGTTGTCGACGAACACGAGGAGTCCCGTTTTCGGGTTTCGCAGCAGGTTGTGCGCGGGCGACGACATCATGTCCGGGTTCCACTGGAGGTTGTAGAGATTGTTGACAACTCGGTCGAGGTTGGCGGTGATGTAATCGAAGAGGATCAGATCCGACCATTGGACCAACTCCTGGATTTGAGATCGTGTCATGTTCTTGACGTCGGAGGGGTGCAGGTGTCGGTTCTTGTCGCGGAGCATTTCAGGAATGAACGCCGGCTCCAAGCCGTCGATGTAGCGCGAGAGCAGCACGGGACGTCCCGGTTGCCAGCGGGCCTGCTGGATCTTGGGAATGACGTCCGACCACTGTTTACCAACAGCGCGGGTCGCCACTACCGGCACCACGTTGGGGATGCCGAGCAGCTGGGCGAGGTAGAACGAGAAGAGCTCACCCTGCATCTGGTCGTTGTTCGGACGGTAACGAGCGCACGAGAGCACTTGGTCGTTGAGTTCGACGAGACGGTTCTGCATCCGGCCGCATCCCTCGCGAATGTCAACAATCGTGGCCGCCTTGACAGCCGCTTTCCAGTGTGTCGCCTGGCGAGAATGGAAGCCGGCGGGCACCGACGATTCGGCAGCATCGCTCCAGAAGATCCCGTTCACAGCAGGAAGCTGCGACACGGGTTCGGCCGTCGTTGGCACTGGCGTTTCGACCGTGCTGCTCATACGGTTGTAACGCAGTTGACGAAGCGCTATCGGTTTTCGGGGCTGAGGTTGTTTGCTCACGACGACGTAGCTGTTCACTCGAGGTAACGGCACTTGAGTAGATTCGATCAGTTGCTCAGCTCGACCCAAGACGGGCTCTGGTTGCGTTTGGTTGAAGGCACCGGACAGTATCAACAGCGTCATCGCAACCGAGGCGACCACGAGCAACAATGCGGCCACAACAGCCGCGATGTACTTTTTGTTCGAGGACGATTTCGCCGGTTCGATTACTTCGGCGTAGATGGACTCCACTCGCTGGTCGGGGTAGACCATCGTGTTGGGCTGGTAGGTGGGCATTCGATCGACGTAGTACGACATTTTGGCCCGGTCGAGTTTTTTCTTCTCCGGAAATTATGACAGCGAACGTGTCTCACTCGTAGGTGTCCGACATCCACGCACTCACGCACACCGTATTTTTCCACTGGCACTAGTCGGTGAATACACTGGTAAACTCCTTCATCGAACACTCGTTCACTACTCGTGGTATCCGGTCGAGTTTCCGTGAAAGTTTTTCTTCGCTCTTAACGCTATGTCAGATATTCACAAAGGGAAGTTTCTGACTTTAGCTTCACTGTGTCGAGTCTACGCTCTGCTCCTGTGTACGTGTGTCTCGCGGCGATCAGCAGGAATGCCGCTCCGAAGCACCGGCTTGTGCTTTTAAGAACAAGTCCGAGAAGAAAGGGAGGAGCAGGAATGCGCATCGAGCGCCTCCCATCGGTGAGATACCGAAACGCCGTTGACGCAGATGTTTGACGTATATGCGCGATGGTCAGAGATAGACAGCGTATGAGACCGGCTCGTCCGGGAACTTCTGCCCAGCTGGAACTTTGGGCCTCGGTAAGGTCTGTCCAGGCCGTCTCCACAGTCTCCTTCGATGGATTCGGACCCCGCTCTCGGTGAAAACGAGCCGAACGACTGACCTCTGACCCCAGTCGATCGCTATCTCTGGGAGATACGGCTCTATTCTACCGAAGTGAAGTTTTGTCGGAATCGCCGACGGAGTTGTGTTTGCCGAGACAGGATCCGTTGCTGCATCTTGCCTCGATAGGAGGGGAATTGATATCGGGGAAGAAACTTCGGTCCGAGACGACTCGGGTCCGGAGTTGGGGCCGAGCGACCGAAGTTGAGTGGCTTCGGACCGAGGGAAGCTATCGGAACTCGATTCCGATCCCTCCGGTACATCGCAAAGCGTCGGCGACAAACGTGAATCGAGTTTCCCTCCACCTGAGCTACATTCTCCCGAATGTCATGCTATATGTTTCAAGGAATTCGCGTTATACGTATTCGGCTGTGGAAGATAGTCAGCACGAGCAGAGATCTGGGAGAAAGTTTCCTGGTATCATTTGATGTTGTAGTAGCCCATTTTTGTACCTTACCGACTCACTTAAGTAGCTTCGCGCTTCCGTAACCTACAATTAACGAGGCCCGAGCGACGACTGGAAGCCCAAGTATGCCGACGATCTCATCTTCGTTGTCTTAAGCGCCGTCGTCGTCAGAGTCGTCTGACGGAGTCTCGGCGCGTAGTCATCAAATTCGTCGAACGTGCAGTGAGCTCAGCGCGTATCGTCTGCGAGTCATTCTTTCGCTGCTGGTCGTCTCGCTCTTTTTGTTTCTTCCGCGCGATACATACTTGCTCGACGTCAGAAGCTGATCCATATGGTACGGAGACTATCAGCCAGCGAGCGTATGTCGCTCCCGCTTCGGCTTCACAGACCGAGCACGCGTTTGAGTAGATTCCCTGAATCGCCCCCTCATTCAGTGAGAATCGGCGAAATGGGCTCTTTCTCTATACTGTCCCCTGCCAGATGTGAGATCAGAACTTGAGAAATCACTTTCGGGCTGGAACTCGTAGCTTTGTTCAAAATGGATCATGACGAAACTTTCTGCGAACGTCGATGATGGTTTTTTCCTCCATGCTGCGACGATCTTTATATGACATTTCTTATGTCGTCTGAAGCCACGGGAAAAATCAAGTCGCGGGAGATGTATCCTCCTGGGTGGGATAATCCAGACATCGCTTCACCGCAAATCCACAGAATCGGGGGGGGAGGGGCGGGCTCGCTGGCTGATTTTTGGGGAATCGGGGAGAACCGGAAGATCGGAGGAATCATTGGAAGGAAAGCTCGAATCGCGGGCGGTATCGTACGCTGGAAGACAATGAGCACGGAGTATATGTATCCGATCGTAACGGTCTGAGTAGACCAATACACGAATGGCAGCATCGAATCGTAGCATCGTTTTGTGGACGGTGAGAACCCCGACCTTTCGGCGGTCCTCGAACCGCACCGTATATCGCGCGTTGGGTTCGCCACCTACGACATTCGTATTCGGTGATGTCGACCTTAGTTCGGTTCGCTTCTGAATAAGGAAAATAAATGTAATTTAGAGCGTTTTTCGGCTTCGCTTGTGCCACTCCGCCGTGAGGGACCACTGCGGTCGCATCTGAAACACCACCACCACCGCCGCCGCCGCCACCTCCTCCTCATCGACCATTACCGAAGCACATCCACGAAGTCTTGGACGCCGACTAAGCAGCCAATGAAGTTGAGAAGAGGCGCGCATTTATCTAATCTTTTTCCACAGCTATCGCTTGAGTGGCAACTCCGTAACTCTGCGCCAAAACTCAGCCGACGGATCAGCCAATTAGGACAATGTGGACTCGGCTCTCCGCGCGGAATCTAACCCACTCTCCGAGGACCCGCGTTCGAAGTTCGCGATCCCGGTGGGGGAAACAGCGGATGGTCGAGGAAAACTCAGACAAGCCTTTCCCCTTACCACTGACCGGGAGGCGCAGCTTTGTCGAGCGTCTCCCGCAAAGTCGCGAACTGAGAACCCCCCGATCCCTGAAAACGCGTGGTTCGCACCTGACGAACACCCGTCGGTCGGAGGGTCTAACATTCCTCCTGTCGACTCTAGCCCGTGTTCCCAGATGATGTGCAAAGCTCGACATCTCACGCCGGAGCGAAACCCGCGTCCGAGGTTTCTGCTGTGAGCGCCAACGACCTCACACGAAACAACGAATCTCGGCTCCTTCCCCGATGCTCGCTGATTGTTGTGTGCTCGCGGTTGAAGCGACCTGCCTGGATTTGCCCGCACATGAGCGCGGTGGCGGACACCAAAACGCGTAGCAGATGGGGCTGCATCGATAAGTCGAAAATCAAACCGAATTCTCGAGGGAAACAAAGGGCTCGGCCAGAGCCGTGGACGAGTTCGGAAGCGAGCCGTATTGAAACGGGTCAGGCTGATCAAAGAGCTTTGCAGAGACCGCGCGGCCTTCGGATTTTCGGAGAGAACGTTCCGTTGAAAACGTTACGCTGCTGCAGAATCGGGATTAATTTCGTCTCGATGAAAACCTCACGAATCGGCTTCGATGCACGAGCCACGGGCATCCGCGACGATGAAGATTTTAAGTTCTTCTTCGAAATGAATAAATTCAACATTGAATGAATGCGGAAGATCTCGGACATGGCCGAGAGCGAGACGGACTCTCGCGCTGCGACGACCGGCGGCGCGGGCGGCAGTGGCTCAAAGATCAGAGAAGTGGCTACAAATCCAGACAGTAGACACCATTACGTCGCGCCTGAGAATCTCAGACCGTCTCGACAAAACGTGTTGATACACACATAAAGTCTGGTCTCTGCTTTCCATTCCAGCACTCATTCTGGCATGCCACCCTGTTTCTATGGGAGGATCTTGCCCGACGAGCTCCGACATCATTAAATCAGAAACGTGTTCGCTCTTTTGGTCTCAGTCAGACATTTCTGTTCGAGGAAGCACTACAAGGATCTCCTCTCTCGTTCCCAACCAGTCTCGGGTGCTCTTTCCTGGATTCGAACTCGAAACGAATCAGAAACCGAGTCAGGGAGCGGATCTCTCGAGGATTTGGCACCGGGGCACGACAGCTTCCTCCGCCTGATCTTGCATCACAGTTGTATCGGCGCGTACGACAAACGTCGACGACATGCTTGGAATCCGGCCCCCCGCAGGATGGACTCTTGTACACTCGGCCCGGCGTGGAGGGAGCACAGCGATACGGGCTCGAGGAATTCAACACGTAGGCACTGTGCGAATATTGACTCTCGAAAAACGAATGAACGAGAAAATCTGCCAGCCAGCCAGCTAGCTAGCAAACAGGCGGGCGGACGACCCTCATGAGAAGAAAATACAACTTTTCAGCGGAGATTTACGTTCGTGCAAGATAGAGTCGTTCTGTCCGAACAGTCCGTATGCGTGTGTTTCTGTTCATCTACGTTTCCAATATAAGCGACGCTTGAGCCGGTCCCCACCGTCGAGTCATTTAACGTTTTTGCTGCTGCGTCTTCCACGCTGCCATTGTTTGTAGTTCGTTGTAAATCTTTCCTTATTATTGAACGCTGCGAGCGATTGCGACGCCGACCGCGAGGGGGAGAACGAGCTAGCTAGAAGGCTCGACAGTTTTCTGAGTGCGGGGCTGGAGCTGTGAAATGTGCATATGTATGTGTCTATAACTGGATCCGAAGACCCTCTTCTGCATAATTCACCTCCGTCGATGCATTGTTCCAGACGTCGGATTATCCGGACACGAGAATGGAGTCCCGTCATTTCAATTGGTCCGGCTGGGACTGCGAACTGACTCCGATTCCGACTGTGGATGGAGGAGCATTACCCGCGACTTTCGGGATAGCGTTCCGCGAAGCTCAATAGCTTCACTTATCTGATGAGGTCTCGATGGTTTTCCGAACGTGGAGTCGGCACGACGATTTCCGAGAAGGAGGCGGAATTTCAAATCGGAGGATGAGAATTCTGCCGCAGACGCCGGAGCTCTCGGAACCGAAGCAGCAAAATGAGCTCTCCCAGCTGATGGTGATACGAAAGACACGACTTAGTAAGCATGGATCGGATGAGAGAACCCAATGTTGTCAATGTGGATTTTTCGTCTATCTTCGCTCTTTCTAAAGGATGTTAAGCTCAGAAGGCCTCTTCTTTTCCTCCATCTCCTCGACGTTGATCACGGCGGCGGCGGCAGCAGCCGTCGTCGTCTTCAGCGGCAACTTCCATCTGTTGCTGGGATCTGATCTGGGATTAGCGGCTCTGTAGGAATAAGGCACCGCGCGGTGACATTTACAACTGCCTTCTCCGCGGGCTGACGGACCGACTGAAGGACCAGCTTCGGTTCGCTGTCCTATTCCTGGGGCTCTTTCCCCTCCGCTTCATCGCTCCGGCTTCTCTTCCAGGCAAACTTCCAGCCTGCCCTGCATTCGCCGGCCGGAGGGAAAATCTCATTCTTGATTGACGGATCGACGATCAGCAGAATCCTAAGGAACGCGATTTGTGGATAC